AGGGCTGATGAAGAAACGACGTGAAAACCCACCTGTCACTTTGTCGGCAAAGCGGACTCTAAACCGAGAGATCAGTAAACTCGTACGACACGACCTCCGGTGCTCCAATACTCTTTCAATTGAAAGAGCGATCGAGCAAAATCGGGGGTCAAAAGTGTTCGTACAATCTCTTGGAAGAAGCCACCTGACAAAGTTGACTACAGAAAGTGGAGAAGTCGTTGCTTCGAAGCCGGCAGTCCTTTTGGAAGTGGAAAGCTTCTATGGCCGGTTATACGCTTCGCATGCATCTCGACCTGATCCCGAAAATGAGGACTCTAGAGCCACATTAACACGTCACTACACCGAAGACCTGCCAGAAGTTAGCATTGACGAAATCGAGATGGCTCTTGGACAGCTGAAAAATGGAAAAGCCCCTGGAGAGGATGGCGTTACAACAGAGCTGCTGAAGGCCGGGGGTAAACCCGTACTAAGGGAGCTCCAAAAGCTCTTCAACGCTGTCCTGTTTGAAGGGAGAACTCCAGAAGCGTGGAGTAGGAGTGTGGTCGTCTTGTTCTTCAAAAAGGGTGACAAGACCAGGTTGAAGAACTATCGACCCATATCCCTTCTAAGCCACGTCTACAAGCTGTTTTCGAGAGTCATCACGAACCGTCTTGCGCGAAGACTCGACGAATTCCAACCACCGGAGCAAGCTGGGTTTCGGAGCGGATATGGCACCATAGACCACATCCACACAGTGCGGCAGATTATACAGAAGACCGAAGAATATAATCAGCCCCTGTGTCTAGCATTCGTGGACTATGAGAAAGCCTTTGACTCGATCGAGATCTGGTCTGTTCTGGAGTCCCTGCAGCGTTGCCAAGTAGATTGGCGATACATCAAAGTGATGAGATGTCTCTACGAAGCCGCCACCATGTCCGTCCAAGTACAGAATCAGCAAACAAGGCCCGTACCATTGCATCGAGGAGTGAGACAAGGGGACGTTATTTCCCCGAAATTGTTCACAAATGCAATGGAGGACATGTTCAAGACGCTGCACTGGAAAGGGCGTGGCATCAATATCAATGGCGAATACATCTCTCACTTGCGATTTGCAGATGACATCGTCATCATGGCAGAGACGTTGCAGGACCTACAGCAAATGCTGAATGACTTAGCTGACACTTCTGTACGCATCGGCCTACGGATGAACTTGGATAAAACCAAGGTCATGTTCAACGAACATGTACTACCGGAACCGATTGCGGTACACGGTGCCGTTCTCGAAGTTGTTCAAAATTATGTGTACCTCGGGCAGACATTGCAGTTAGGTAGAAACAACTTCGAGGACGAGGTGAACAGAAGAATTCGGTTGGGTTGGGCAGCGTTTGGGAAGCTACGTCGAGTCTTCTCATCGTCGATCCCACAGTGCCTTAAGACGAAAGTCTTTAATGAGTGCGTCCTACCCGTCATGACATACGGAGCTGAAACGTGGACACTTACGGTACGGCTGGTCCACAAGTTCAAAGTCGCTCAACGTGCTATGGAAAGGGCTATGCTCGGCGTTTCTCTAAGGGATCGCATCAGAAATGAGGTGATCCGGCAGAGAACTAAGGTCACCGACATAGCGTACCGGATCAGCAAGTTGAAGTGGCAGTGGGCTGGCCATATTAGCCGCAGAACCGATAACCGTTGGGGAAAACGAGTTCTTGAGTGGAGACCGCGTCTCGGCAAACGTAGTGTAGGACGCCCACAGGCCAGGTGGAGTGACGATTTGCGCAAGATGGCTGGCAGGAGCTGGATGCGAGAAGCCCAAAATCGATCTAAGTGGCGTGCAATGGGAGAGGCCTATATCCAGCAGTGGACTGCGATAGGCTGATGATGATGATGATGATGATTATATTATTATATTATATATATTATATTTTATTACATCGGACAACGTCTGTAGCCAGTCAGTCACGCCATAAGACAACGATTAGTGTTGGCGTTGAGCTGGCGGCTGGCCACAAACAACTCATTAGTCTGACTGGATTATTCAGATTTCTTTATATTGCGTTGACACTAAATAATAAATAAATAAAGATATGATAAAAATATTGTATGCAATGACGTTCATTATTGATGTAGGTAATTGATATCAAATCAAATTTGATATTTTATCTTTGCACCTACCGCATTATATTTCTACATCACCTGAAGGTCGACTGGGAGCGAATGCCTAATGGCACCGAGTCCGCCTTTGTACAACAGGTGCATTAAGATTAAATCAATAAATAAATAATTGCATACAATTTTATCATTATTTTTCTGTAAAATGAACACGTGCAAATCTGAATACCTATTTAATTCCCTTTTACCCAGTTACAGTATACGTTAGTAGGTGATTCAGAACTGTAAATATCGACACTAAAGGTAAACATAAACATAGTGTGACAATAAAATAACTTATATTGAATGAAAACCTTAACTTTCGTCAAAATGAAATAATCTTTAATAGAACAAGAAACAGTAGGTATACAAATTTATTGGTCGCAGAACGACCTCCGTCCTCCATAAGCGCAGGCCTGGGGGTGACAGGTGAGGCCATCTGTCACCCTAGCAGAAGCAGGCCGGGGTGGCGGCGAGCGCGTTGCGAAGCGCGCTCGCTTCCAGGGAGCACAGGGAACATGGGGTTCCCACACGGGGCGGGGGTTGTCTACTCGTCTGTAGATGACCCGAGGTATGTCGGGGCACCAGGGCCTTCCTTTCTAGGGTATACCTGGTTCCCCGGCTATTAGTACCCGGCGAAGGTGTGGTTTTAGTCGGTTCGAGTCCGACATGCCACCGACAGGTGGTATCCGAGGGGATTTCCGAACGGAAAAAAAAAAAAAAAAGGTATACAAATTTACTTGTGTTTGAAAATAACCACATTAGTTATGAACTGTGTCGTGGCTATTATCGCCTACCTCCCAGAAAGGTGCAGACAACGGCGTTCCAGGAATAATAAAGATAACTTAGTGACTATTATTATAAGTTATACAATACAAAAAGAAAAAGATTAAGCGAGTGTGTGTGTGTGTGTTTGTGTTTGTGTATGTGTGTATGTGTGTATTTATACACATATGTATATGACTTAGTGATTCGCGACACGAAAAAATTTAAGACATTTCAGTAAATTCAAACATATAAAATGTAAACATAATCTGTGTTACCTGATCGAGCTATTATCACACAATTTTTATCTATTTACGAAGATAGTGTTAAAGATAATAGTGGAGATACAAAAAAAAACAAACATCAGGACGAGGGTTTATATTTCTATTTACTGACTTGTATTATTTACCTATATAGTAGGTACAACCATAAAACTGTTATTTCTTCTACCTGAATGATGGTTTTGTATTAATGATACATTTTTTTTATAAATATGATACAAAGTGACTAATAAATTTTATCACACTCATTTTATTGACTGGACGGGTATTCATTTAATTTGATGGGCCTGTTGGTCTAGCGGTCAGTGTCCCTGACTGCCGGAGGTCGTCGGTTCGTTCCCACCCAGGGTAAATAATAGTGTGATGAGCACGACCATTTGTTTGTTTTTTTTGTTCATTTGTTCATTCATCTACATTAAGTATATATTTCGAATTATATAAGAACGTTCTATGAGGTTCCGAATGATAAAAAGAAGGCTCTGCCTATTTCGGATCAACCTTGGGAGACCAGTGTGCAGTTGTTATTGAATTGTCTTATGACCTTATATATTTTACTATGTTAGACTTCTTGGTTTCGCAGATAAGGTATCTTTATGTGACCACCCGTATTAATTGTTCTCGAGTGTGTACAGAAATTAAGCATACATAAGCTTAGTGTGATCTAATCATTCATTAAACCTCCTTTCTAAGGAGAGGCCTATGTCCAGCAGTGGACTAGTATAGGCTGTTGATGATGATGATGATGATGATCTAATCATTTACTTACAAATGTGTAAATGCAGAATGTGTTTGTGTAACTCAGTACATAAAAGTGCAATTCATCTCACTTAATTTTATGTTCCATGATAACCTCCTCGTATACTGTACAAGTATAGCAAAAGAAAAAAAAAACTAAACAAACTGCATTAAAAATGACAGAAGAGTAACACTGTCTACTACATTTTAACTCCAAGATGTCAATTCATAATATTATTATCCAAACCACATAATTATTTTACTCGTACATACAAAATTTAATTTCGATACAATAATTAACACCGTAAATAATAGGGGTTACAGTATGAAATTGTCGTTGTATGGTAATAGATACTTTGAATTGACATAAAACCTTCATGGTTTGAGATTTTCGTGAGAATTTTGTTCACATGATAGCTACGAGGTTCTCCTTTAAAAAAATGTGCAATATTCGATTTTCGACTTTCAATTTTTTTTTTATTCAGCTTAGACGTGAAAGAAGGATATTCCGAAAATCCGAGTCATTTTTAAATACGAGTTATGACGTGGAAGTAACGCGGCAGAAACGACTATATTTGCCCTTTAAATATATAAAAAATAACACTTGACTGCACGGATGGCGTAGTGGTTTAAGCGGTCGCCACGCTGCTTCCTACTACGTCGAGTGTTGTGGGTTCAAACCCCACACGGGACGACACTTTGTGTGATCCACAAATTGTTGTTCTGAGTCTGGGTGTTCTTTGTGTTCGTTTCATGTATGTTTGTAAAGTACCCCGCGACACAGGATGTATTCCTAATGCGGGAGTTGTCTTTGAAAAAAAAAAAAAAAAAAAAAAAAAAAGAAGAACATATCTTACTATAATCCATTAACAAGAATGGCAGGTCAATATAATAATATCTCAAGAGTCAATAAACTACTAGACGTTTTTGATCATAACTATAACAGATATAGTAAATTAGTGAACGACATCCTCCAGTTGGGTTGAGTTGAGTTGGGTTTGCATTAGCATTCAGATCTGCATCACTTTAGCTGCTTGCGTACTTTGTCACTTATTATTATATTACTTAAATTTTGTTTTTTATTCCCACCAGGCATGGACAGTGTCGGCTGTATTAATAAATATGATTGGACAAGGCATGATGCTGAGCTACACGAGTACACTACTACCAGGGCTGCAGGCGCCTGAATCCAAGATGAAAGTAGATTTACACACGGCTTCTTGGTTAGGTAAAGTGTTTCAATCCTATTAATATTAGAAACGTGTACGTGATGATGTTTGTTTATATATTTACTTACGCCATTGTATGTATCTGTTACTTAAAAAAGAGTGGTTGTTTTGCCTTTTTCTTCTCATTAGGCTCAACCTCTTGGAACCGGGTGGTTGTAGATTGCCACGGGCATGTAATATATTTTCGATACGTAAATATTTATTTTGCTAAATTTTTGACAGAGATTGTTGCTATAGTGTGTGTTGATCTATGACTTTAGAGTATACACAAGAGACGATTTCATTTATTTTTTATGAAATATCTCTTTCATATTTTGAGTTCGAGTTGAGTTTATTACTTTCTAGTGGTTCTGTGTGTTCGTTTGTGGAATGCAGTACATATACGTAAACATTGCAAACCTTACAGCATTTTAGAATTTAGTCGAACAACATTGTCTCATCATCATGATATTCCCAATTATATTAGGGGTCAGTGTAGTGAAATTTCTTCTTCGCTCACCTTAGGATAGCCTAAAGTTTTCTCTTGTGGATCGCTTTCAGCGACAAGACCACCATCTTTAATAATCGTATCTAATTAAGCTCTTGGTTATAAAAATGTACTTTAATGACACTGTATGTATTTTTTCAGCGGCATCAAGCGGGGTAGCTTGTATTCCAGGATTCTTCATATCATCATTTCTCATGAAGGTTTATGGAAGAAAAATCGCTCACCTGGTCGTCATACTTCCCGGCATCATCGGATGGCTTACCATATACTTCGCTCAAAATGTTACCACTCTCATGATAGGTAGAATCTTTGGAGGGATCTCAGCTGGAGCCACTGTTTCTTTAGGAGCAATAGTCATTGGAGAGTACTCTCACCCAAAATATAGAGGAATGTTCTTGAATTTGAAAACTGCTGCCGTGTGTTTTGGGGGTATGTTGGTGCATATTTTCGGGCATTTCCTAAGTTGGAGACTTGTTGCGTTGATAGGCGTTTTACCTTATACCATTTCCTGTTTGATTGTATGCACATGGCCAGAATCTCCGGCATGGCTGGCTTCCAAAGGAGAATTTGAAAAAAGCGAGAAATCTTTTTTTTGGTTAAGGGAGAACAGTAAAGAATCTCAAGAAGAAATTAATGAACTTATACGTGTTCAAAGAGATAGGCTATCGAAGCCTATAGTCGAGAGGTCTTTTAGTGGTCAAGTTATAGATTTCTTCAGCAAATTTAGTAAGAAAGACTTTTTAAAGCCACTCGGCATAGCAGTCGTCAGTTTCACATTATTAGAGTCAAGTGGTAGACATATTTTCCCAGCGTATGCTCCTCAGATAATTGGTCAATTGACTGGTAACAAAACTCAGTCTTTTTACTATACGTTAGCCCTTGACCTGATCATTACTACTAGTGCGGTGTGCTCATCAATTCTAGTTAAAATGATGAAGAGAAGAACCTTGTTGTTCACCAGCGGTTTTGCGGCCTTTGGAGCAATAATGACAGCTTGTACTTACCTTGCATTTGGGGCAAATAACATTATTTCACATCAACCATGGATAGCTTTAGGAATGTTTGTGGTATATTTTATTCTATCTAACTTAGGCTGCACTCCCATACCGTTGGCTTTATTGGGAGAAATATTTCCTTTATCTCACCGAGAAGTAGCTTCTTCTATCATAGGAATATTTATGTCCTTAGCTCTTATGATAGCACTGCAGATAACCCCATACTTACTTCTTCACATCAAAGTCTACGGCACCTTTTATATATTTGGTTCTGTGACAGGACTATCGCTTCTTATTTTGTATTTTACTCTACCAGAAACCAAAGATAAGACTCTACAAGAAATCGAAAACTATTTCAACTACGGTCGATATAACAGTGATGAAAGGGATGAAGGTGATGACGTTGAAGTTAAGATGATGAAACAATGAGCTGATTATTTACAATATTCTTGGCTAGAAATCATATAAAAAATAAGATTAAAAATGCACATATGATTAAAAATGCAATATTATTAATTATTTATTGATAATATTATTGATTAAAAGAAATCACTTTGTGTACCAAGTGATTTTTTTTAATCTTAAAAAAAATCTGTCTGTGTATTTTGGTTGTGAGACGCATCAATATATTGGCTAGTGATATATATTTTTAAGACTTAACTGCGCACATATGTAATCACTGAACAAAGTATGGGCGAAAGTTTCAGAGTCTCCGCTAAAATTGCCGTAGTGTTAGCAGTCTTTCGTATTATAAACGTGTCTGTTCATGAAACATCAAGTTTCACTGATCCTCCAAGGTCTTGCAGATATACGTTTAGATCATCTTGTACAATCCAAACAAAAGTTCAAGTACATTGAGTACGGAGTTGACAAGAACATTGGTAATTGATATGAATATTCTTGATGTCTATGTTATCTGGAATCATAATTATTGCTAGTTTATTATATCAAAACAGTTGATAGTAATAAATAAAAAAAACTAATTAATTTTGTTTTATTTTTTTACCCTATATTGTTTTTTTCTTCAATATAAGTTAAATCGCTATAATTGTACATAACTTTATTGTATTTTTTACATATCGATAATTTGATTCTATCCTCTACATTGTTAATTTTAAATTGGTAACAGTGTCACAGAACAGTGTCAACACAATAATAAAAAATACGGTTTTTATTATTTGACTCGTCCTTTAATACAAATAATTATGTCCCATAAATTTTTTATCGCTTTCCTTCACACTTTTGCATCTTTTACTTTCGTAACCTCGGTCAACTGAGTCGTTGGGAGGGTTGATTCGTGCAGTTGAACTTGGAGCGACGATTTGAGAAATTGGTCATTCGAAAAGATACAGGCATGAGAGGCAGCGCGCAATGTTTCGTGTGCGTTTCTTAGAGGATTAGGACTGAAGGGTGAGACCCGTGTTGGGTGAGACGGGTCAATACCTGTCGGGGAAAACGGAGGAATGCAATTTCGGTTCTCGCTCTTCCGAGCATTGGCATACAGAGGAATACCGGCGTGGTTTTTAGTCGGTAAGAGTCCGACAGACGCCTTCGCCCACCCTCCCCCCAATGGGTAAACGACATACAAGAAGATCATTTACCCCGTTAACGAAAAAAAAAAACTGGAAACTAAGGCAAACCGAGTAACCATGTCTAATGGTGTTTTATTCCATTATAAAATTACTTTCAACTCGTCTATTAATTATTTGTTCCTTTTGACTTTTCTAATGTTAACTGTAAATTCTTAAGAGGACCTGTAGTTTTTATGACTAAAACAGATTTCAAACCATGTAAAATTATAAAAATTAAAGGTTTATGCAAATTTTTACTTGTAATATTTTACATTTCGGTCTATACCTACGTATTATGTACCACCGTATTCAGTTACATACAATCATAAAGTCACACCACTTCAGGCAACATCTGTTTTAGTAGAACTCCAACATACAGGGAGGGTCCTCTGACCAGACGAGGTCCTCAAACGTAGGCAGGCCACGGTCCAACGGTTGATGATGATGGAAAATGATGATGATGGAAATGTAACGTTGTTGGTGCTAATCAAGTGCAAACAGAATTAGCAGTTACTCCGTAGTTCGGTGTGTCTTCGTTAGATGGCGCTGAAGTATTTTTTAATGTCCCTGTACGTGTCAGGCGCCGCAGTTTTATGATAATATATACAAAAAGCTCGAGAGTGTTGTTTGTAAATAGTAACCGTAAGAGGCTGTAAGCTATAGAGTCTTTCAAGCCTGTTCTAGCTGTCTGACGATCGCAACACTAATTTTTTTCAAAACACTTTTACTTAGTCTATAAATTCAATACCTACGTTCTACTTGCTAATTATCATTATTGTCATAAATTGCCTCTATAGAGTCTCTTTATGACGGTAACAAACTGTCTTTCTATTTTATTGGCGATAATTCAACAGATATGACAACTATTTGTCTTCATAAAGTTGTTAAGAACAACTTAATAAGTTCAATAAACGGAATAAATAGTAAATATTAACTAATGTTACACGTGCAAATTACAGTCACCAACAAGCAATTACGACGGAGTATATGTAGAAGTGCCCTTTGGCATAGGCCTCCCCTAAGTTTTTCCATACTTCTCTGTTTGTGGCTTTCCTTTGCCATGTTATACCAGCTAATCTTTAAATAAAGAATAGCTGGGATAAAAGGGCAAACTGATAGTAAGGTTACCGATGTCGAATTGTTATTGTATTTGTTTGTTATGTAGAATTGTTATTAAAATATTCAATTAATGCATTAAATTATTGTCTATACAAATAAATAAAATTGGAGTGTCTGTTTGTAATATTAAAATAACCGCTTTTTACTAAATGCATATGTATGTTCACACGGTACATATGCCAAAATATTTTTTTTTACATTTTTTGTCTGTCTGTCTGTCCGTCTGTCTGTTTGTTTCGAGTAATCTCTGGAACGACTGGACCGATTTCGACGGGACTTTCACTGGCAGATAGCTGATGACATAAGGAGTAACTTAGGCTACATGTTTGACATAAGGAGTAACTTAAGCTAGTCTATACCTTCGCCCCGCGGCGTTGCCCGCGGATATAACAACAAACGCGGGTAACACCGCGGGTCTCAGCTAGTCAGTAATAAAGGCTATTTGTATTTTTATTTGTATATGTCGAAGTGCATAACGATTGGGCAACGTTAATTTAGCCGATCCGCTGCATATAGAGACATTCACATCACCATAGAGGATCACGGCGCATAGTGGGGCCCAATCTCAAAAAGCTGCCCGAAATAGAAAAAAAAAGTGTTTAGGATCTTTTTTCTGTAAAATTGAATTAAGAGATGTCCCTAGAGTCCAAAACCGTATTTATTACAGTGTTTGCTATCGGCAAGAAAACACTCGCACGTAAGGAGGCATAGAATTTTGACAAAACGACTAAATTCAATTCTGCAGAATGGCATCGACTTCTGAAGGTAAGTAGAATATTATTTGATATTCTAGATACCATTTATATAAAGCCGTAAATTAGAAGAAAGCAGTGAATATGTAGATTTTTTTAGTTCTTAGAATCGAAAAAAAAATTTTTACTAAAGAGACTTATGATGTTCTGTCGTGTTCGGTCATATAACTGTAACTTTCAGTATAAGCTAAAAAGCAAAAATAAAATTAGCTACCAGGACTGCCGCCCTGAGCGGAATTTATTGGGAAAATAAAGTATAGTATTGGAAACCCGAGTGCTGAGATATAGAAAGTCTTAAAATATAGTAATTTCATGTCACCATATTAGATTCGCCACTTATGAACTAAATCCTTAATTTTAATTATGATTTTGAATCTTGAATTTTATATGCAACTCGATTACGTTAGGAAATATGGGGTATTTCGTGTAAGGGGGTGGTCAATTAAGGTAAAGGAGGTAATTTTTATGAATTTGAAATCAAATTCGTAATCAGCGACCACGAAAACCCCCGAGAAAGAAATTTTGAGTCATTTATTTGATTTTAAGATTTTGACCAGCTTTTTTGGATTTGGCCCCACTGTGCGGCGTGACCGACAAACTGACTTTTTACTGTACGAAGGGCCTCGTGGTTCAAGCGTTCACCTCGCTGCTACCTATAGCGCTGAGTTCGATCCCACATGAGACAACACTTTGTATAATCCACAAATTTTTGTACTGAGTCTTGGTGTTATTTTAACTGTTTCATGAATGTTTGTAAAGACCCTTGCGACACAGGATATAATCCTAGTGCGTGAGTAGTGTTTTTAAAAATAAGAAAGAAAAGAAAAGAAGAAATACAAAGAGGCGACCATCCGACCAGTGAATGATTCTACTTATATTCGTAATTAATCATCAATAATATGTCAGGTTCAGGTTGACAGTTATTATGTTTTGAGGCTTATATTGTCGTTATGTACGTTGAGGGGTTGATGTTTTAAAGTGACACCAAGGTAAACATAATACTAATCAGCGCTACAACATTTACTAACGGGATCTACAACTGCGCGATACAGGATTAGTAGGTATTATTAGTTCCGCTTGTCGTTGCAGCAAGAAGCTGTTTTTTAAGCTGTCCCAACTTAAAAAAAAACCAGCTTTATTGTATGAAAGGGTATAATTACGAGCTCATGTAGTGGTTTTCATTTTTAGATTTAAGCATAATTAATTTAGTTTCTTTTTAAAAATTTCTACACAGGAAAAGGAATTTTAACTAATTTACACAATTGGTTGGCTAAGGAACGTCATGATAATTGGATACAAGACTTCACGGCACATGTGAAGCAAAAAATCAAAAGTTGGTAATGTTTTAATTTTACGTAAAACAATGTTTTGTTATTATAAACTTCAAGTCAAGTTGCTCTCTCCGCTTTAGCTAATTCACCATGATAGGTCATTTCAAGTATCTCAGCCAAAATTATAATATATAAGGTAAAGACTAATTGTAACGTATGGACATTACAATCTAATAAGAAGGAAACCCAAAAAAAAAACTGAAGTAAAGAAAAAAAACCCTGTTTGACACTGCAACACATTGATATAATACTTACATAGATGAGTAATTACCGCCTAAAATCGTTGCTACTGCACATATGTCCACAGGCATATGCGTAGCAAACGTCAATTCATTATTCAATGTGGCGTCAACCGAGTTGAACATAGCGACACATGACAGTAACAATCGCTAAAATGGCTAAATGCGTAGTGAAAGAATGCGATTCAAGGTCACAAAACATTAATAAATCATGCGGAATTACTTTTCACGTGTAAGTTTATGGTTTTTGTATTGATAATATCGTAAATAAGGCTATAATTGAAATAAAACACTGATAATTGTAATTTAGAATCAGTGTTACCATTAAAAAATCATTTTGGTTTTCCCACATTAGTGGGAGAATTTATAATTTATGAAATAATATGCTTTATACTGTTTTTAAACATTTTGCCAATAATAATAAAATATAGAAAGAACGGTAGTTGTTAGGGCTGGACCGATCCCTTTTTTTAGGGACCCGTTGAACGTTAACTGCGAACTGAACGTTAACTGCGTCTCCAGCACTGCGAGCTTGGCACTTCTGCCAAGCTCGCAGTGCTGGAGACTTTTGTACAAAAAAATTAATTCATTGTTTTTCTTAATTTATTATCAATTTTAAATAATAATTGTACAAAATAATAATAATAATAATAATAAATGTTTATCATAAAAATAAAAATATAAAATAAAAAAGTAAATAAACATAAATAATTTTTTTTATAAAATATATATATTTTTTTTTTAATTTGTTTTTTAAATTATAATAGAATTTGCAATACACCCTGGGGATTATTTATTATCAGTACAAGTTGATCATTCACTTTTATTATTAAATGCTATTATTTTTACATACGTAAAAATAAGATTGTATAATGAAAGTAAAATATCTACACAAACTTCTAGAAAGAGTAAAAGAGTCTAAAAAGAGTCTAAAAGACAATTGTATACAAAACTGATGCTTCACAGCGCAGTTTGATTTTACACTGAATATAAACCCTTTTAACCAAATATTTCCAGTTCTTTTATTATTTATACCTATTCTAATTAATTCGAAATATATTATTTAGAATATTTAAATTTATTTATTTTATTACAAAATTGTTTAAAAAAAAATTGTTTCTTAGTTGTTATGGGTAAAATTTCATACGGTAGTCAACACTGGCCCACCATCGTAAAGTTATATCTTTGTCTTTGTCTAATCCGAGCGATGGTATTGTTCTTGTCTCGCGTGTAAATGAGACATAAATATGTTTACTTTCAAATGTTTAGTGGTATCAAAGCTACGTCGTCAAAGTTCAAAAGTGGTTACACTTTTTTCGACGTGTGATAATGAGGTTTGCTTCTCTAGTGTTGTTTTAACTCAATGCTGCAACAACGAAAATTATAGGTTATTTGAAAATCTCCAAAGATGAAATCTAAGTCTGGTAAGATACAATAATTTACTCACCAGGGTTCGCTAACGTTTCACAAATACATCAGAGGCAATACTAATAATTCCTGTAACCAAATAAACAAAGATTTAAAACAACTAGTCCTCTTAAGCCAAGTACAAAACACGTGGCGATTTAAACTTACCAAAATAGATAAAATGGCAATTCCAATAAACAACTCGTTTCCTTAACGAGACGGGTCAACAATAAAAGGTGAATTAATCCTCTGATTATTACAAATGAAAACGGATTACAATTGTAAAAGAATATAATAGCTCAAAACCCTTCTACTTCACACGGCCAGACGCCAAAAGTGAACAACCCATGTTGCCAGAGCTAAAGTTCCGTTTCGCCCTAGAATGCGACAAAAAATGTTGCCAGAACAAGAAAAAACTAAAATCTAAAGTATACCATAGTCGATTAGAACAGACTAACAAATCTCGTCCGTGACGCCGTCTCTCGGAGCTTACTGAAACGTCAGAAACTTCAACTGTCAAACTAAAAACACGTCGATAATTAAATTTTCTGTAATGGTGCGAAATGCACCGTTACAATTTATAATAAAAAACACTCGGAGGCCTTTGCCTCGAAGGTTTGTCACCTTGCCGTTTCATACTGCGCTGAGTGTTGTGGGTTCAATTCCCACATGGGACATCACTTTCTGTGATCCACAAATTGTTATGTCTGTCCGTTTCATGAATGTTCGTGAAGTCCCCCGCGACACACTTTCTTGTCTTCACATCAACAGCCTTTAACAGTCTACTGCTGGACATGAGCCTCTCCTTAGAAAGGACGTTTTGTTTTCTTTCTTGTTTTGTCTTCTTTATAATGATTAAATGAAAAAATGTAAAAAATTGGTTAGAAGATAATGTCTGTAAGACATTGATATTATTAATATTGCGGTAACTATCTAAGACTCACCAAACGGATTTATTCTCTATCTTTGTACATGAACAATATATTGTTTTATTGCACCGCACGTGGCTCGGTATCACATGAAGCGACATTATAGGTTCAACATTGTTGACAACAAGGTGGTGAAATGGTTGCTCCGTTCTTTAGACAAGTAAGTTTATACTTTATAAATATAATTTATAGAATTAGCAAATATGTCTTGTCTAGTTGTCGAAGCCTATAAATAAACATCATTATTGGGCAACGTGTTACAAAGCTTGCCGTAATTCATTTATTATAAACTTTCTGCATTTATGAGTCATATTTTTGTGGTTATAAATAAATTATAAAATAAAAGTTTTGTTTTGTTTCAAATATTTCTACAAATAGATTTATTTGTTGCACTTAAAAATAATATGAGCTTACAGTGTACACCAAATCACTTATATTATATCAATTAATTATATACTAGATAATAATACAATTAATTTATGAACTCAGTACTTAAAATATACTAAATTTTACAATACAAGCAAATAAAGATTTATTATTGTTATAAGAAAGTAATTATTACTGTTGTGAATGGTTGTGATGCACAAAAGATGTGAAAATGATGTTGGATGTTTATCTGAAGCGTACTTTACGAGATCTGGTGTAAGTCAGGGCAGTAACCTGGGTCTGTTACTCTTCGTTTTAATGATTAACAGCCTGCCGGAAGTAGTTAGTAACTCGACGTCATTGCTGTTTGCGAATGACCTGAAGTTGGTTCGAGAGATTAGGCCCAATGCGGATCACGACTTGCTGCAGCAGGATATAGACAGGGCAGTAGCGTATAGCTTAGGCAATAAATTATATTTTAATGTAGCTAAGTGTTCCGTTTTATCGTTCAGCCTAGTGCGTAACCCTGGACACTACCAGTACCTCATGCAGGGGTCGCCTCTCCAGCGGATAAACGAGGTCAGAGATTTGGGCGTTCATTTCAGCTCAGATTTAAATTTTAGTAAGCACATTCAGGATGTTTGTAAAAAGCTTATCGTAATCTCGGGTTTCTTTTAAGCAACGCAAATGGATTTACGAACATCGCAGCACTGAGAGCCTTCTACAAGGCATTAGTTAAAAGTTATCTGGAATGACTGACTGCACGGATGGCGTAGTGGTTTAAGTGGTCGCCACGCCGCTTCCTACTGCGCCGTGTGTTGTGGGTTCAAAAGCCACATGGGATGATAGGTGTGTGATCCACAAATTGTTGTTCTGAGTCTGGGTGTTCTTTGTGTCCGTTTCATGTATGTTTGTAAAGTCTCCCGCGACATAGGATATATTCCTAATGCGGGAGTTGTTCTTTTAATGGGCCTGCTTGCGGTGCCTCCCGCGCGCACTAATCTGCTGCCATTTACACACGAGCTGCGTGCTCTCAATGCGGTGTCGGAATTGTCAGGTCATGTTGACATTTTTTCGTGTTAGCTTAATGAGTTCACAAAGGCCATATATTGCGTACTGACTAGTTCTAGTTTTTTATTATTTTATCATAGATTTGTTTGTTTTTATTGTAAGTCTTGTATTATTGTATCGGTCCATCTGTGATAATAATGTAAAGTATGGCATAAATAAAAAATGAATAAAATATTCCGTTGGACTTTTCAACCATAAGTGTGTATAGTTTTCACTGAGAATGCGATTCAGAGGGCCAAGTGCAAGTTTATTTCACATTAACCCACTCTCGACAGCGATCGCGTTAGGCGTTGCGATTGGTTAAGATTTAAGTGCGGGCCAATCGCAGCGCCCAACGCGGTCACCGTGACGATGGAGTAGATGTGAACTAAAGTCGCACTTGAGCCTCAGAACATTTGACACCAGTGCAAACTGGTGTCAAATGAAACATTTGGATATTTTATTTGATTTATTTGAGACAAAAATAGTTATACATTGCGGTCTCTACAAATAATTTATATATTTAAAACGTATAACCCACACTATTGTCCACGAGGTTATAGCTGGAGTAGAAATTACATATTACAATATAAGATAGATAGTTAATTAAGCGAAAATATCTAAGTTCATAAAATGTAAGTTGTACGTTTCGCTTAATACAAGTACAAGCATATTTACAAACAATGTGCTATCAATTCTCATGACAGTTACCATGTTTTGTTAATTTATTAATCACATCAACAGCCTTTAATAGTTCACTGCTGGACATAGGCCTCTCCTTAGAAAGGAGGTTTTGGCCTACTATACCACGCTGGCCAGATGGGTTGGTTTAGGGTTTGAAGTTTTCCTTGTCTCTGCAGTGCTGTTGTTCTGCGTAGTTTGCTCCCTTAGTCGGCTCTTACGACACCCACGGGATGAATAGGGGCGGTAACACTCTGTATTCTTAATCCGTCACCACACGGACAGATATATTAATAAATCTGTGTAAAGGACTAGTAGTACAGTGGCTGTAAGTTTTATTTAAATATTTTCAGTTCCTCATCACCTATTGCTATTCTTACCTATTGTTGATCCAAAGTTTATTTTTAAGACATCTGATCGCATTCAGCGATAACACTGTCTATTGTTTTTATTTGGTGATTTGAAGCTAGAACTAATTAAGACTATTGTAGCCTATATGTAGTTTCTAGTACTTAAAATTTGCACTCCACACTTTAATGGAGGGCTCAGCTTGGGCTTTTAGCCTTGAGATTACTCCCGGTGGCAGAACCCTTTCTCTGAAGATTATGACCCATGGTCTGAAGCGAGAGTGCGTAGGATGCCAATTCATGAAGAGGTAATGTTGTCCAAAGAGGCAGCGGAGAGGGAACAAGTAAACACGAATGGGTATTCTGCTATCTCGCAGCAGACGTTTTGGTTGCCAGAGATCTGTTTATCGCCCTAGCAGGAGTAGAAAAGACGCTAGCGCCACGTGGTCCACGCACTTAGGATTGAAGACAACATTATAATAGGATAGGCGCTGAAACAAACATGTTATGGCAATCGAAATCTGTAAACATCAACCTTCACGTATGATTCTAGATTGTTTTGGTGGAGCAAGGTAGGTAGGTACACAATAGATGCGGGCGGTGTGTCCCTAAGCCTCATATAATATACTTTATTGCAGGTTTACTACACTAATTGTTATTAATAATATTATCAGCATCGTATCGTAACGCTAGTACATGACCCGATTTTACTACAAAACATGTTGATTATTTTCTTTTATATAGATAAGGAACAAGATTGGAAACATATAATATTAGTATGGGTGGAGGTGATATCTGCAAACAGCAAAATCGCAATGCAGTAGAATCTGCATAGACAGAACTACCAAAGCATGTTGTAACTGCTCATGGAATACTCACTGTACTCGTTCTACGTCATTATCAGCCTATCGCAGTCCACTGCTGGACATAGGCCTCTCCCATTGCACGCTACTTAGATCGATTTTGGGCTTCTCGCATCCAGTTCTAGCCAGCCATCTTGCGAAAATCGTCACTCGACCTAGCCTGTGGGCGTCCTACACCAAGTTTGCTGAGACGCGGTCTCTATACAAGAAATAATACGTTCTAAGTTATTTCAGAGGATTGTTTCGCTATTATTGTTTTAGAATATGTCTTTTGTTTTCCTTCATCCAGCTTGCATAGATAAACTATTCTATAGCTTGGGGCAAAAAAACCTTTCCCATGAGTTTTGGAACTTGCCACAGACTATCGTTTGATTTGTTTGTGAAAATTTTAAACGAGGGTAGTTAATTGCAATAATTATTTTATATAATTAGATTAATTATAATTATTGTTTTCCAACAGGCATGGGCAGTGTTCGCTGTGCTATCAAATATGATTGGACAAGGTATGCTGCTCAGCTTCACTAGCAGTCTATTGCCAGGACTAGCAGAGCCCGAATCGGCGATAAAAGCAGATTTGCACACAGCTTCTTGGTTGGGTAAATATCAAAATAGTATTTCATTAGGGGTGGTAGAATATTAAAATAGATTACCATGCAGATGGCATTATAAAACATACTATTTAATATAATATATTTAGGTGAATTTATTAAAGATAAATTAAAATCCTTCCAGCATCATCATGCGGAGTGGCTGGCATTCCAGGATTCCTGATCTCATCCTTTCTTATGGACGTCTATGGGCGAAAACTAACTCATCAACTTGTTATCTTACCAGGCCTCGTTGGATGGCTCGCTATTTGTTTTGCGCAGAATATTCCCACTATCATTATTGGAAGAGTACTTGGAGGAATAACAGCTGGAGCCACTGTGTCTTTAGGAGCAATTGTCATTGGAGAGTTCTCAAATCCAAAATACAGAGGAGTGTTTCTGAATTTAAAAACTGCTGCTGTTTGCTTTGGTGGCATGGTAGTACATATTTTCACTCGTTTTTTTACTTGGAGAACCATTGCTGCCTTAGCTGTAGTACCTCATGTCGTTGCCATTTTAATTACATGCACATGGCCAGAATCTCCTGCTTGGTTGGCTTCAAAAGGAGAATTTGAGAAAAGCGAGAAAGCATTTTTCTGGCTGAGAGAAAACAATCAAGTATCTCACAAAGAATTACAGGAACTCATAAGAGCACAAAAAGAAAGGCTATCGATACCAAAAGTAGAGAAATCTCTAAATGGTAAGGTTAGAGATTTTTTCGCTAAATTTACACAAAAAGATTTTTTGAAGCCAGTTAGTATAATTTTAGTCAGTACAGCATTATTGGAAACAAGTGGAAGACATATTTTCCCAGCGTACGCTTTGCAAATAATTGGTGAAGTAACGGGTAATAAAACCCAGTCCTTCTACTACACGTTAGCCATTGATCTGATCATCACTACTAGTGCAGTGTGTTCGTCAATTCTTGTTAAAATGATGAAACGAAGAACTTTACTGTTCTCTACTGGTTTCGCAGCTTTCGTCGCGATTATGGCCGTGTGTACTTATCTCGCACTGGGAGCAAGTGACATTATTCCGAACGATAAACCTTGGATAGCAATTGGGTTGTTTGTAGTATATTTTATTTTAGTGAACTTAGGATGCACTCCTATACCTTTAGCTTTATTAGGAGAAGTATTCCCCTTAGCCCATCGAGGGGCAGGATCTTCTATCGTAGGAATATTTATATCCCTAGGTGTTATGATAGGACTACAAGTAACCCCATATATGCTTCTTTACCTCAAAGTCTACGGAACCTTCTTCATTTATGGATCTGCTTTGGGAGTATCGCTTCTTACACTATTTTTCATTCTACCAGAAACCAAGGATAAGACTTTACAAGAGATTGAAAACTATTTTAACTATGGTGTTTATGAAATTGAAGAGAAAGACGATGATGTCAAAGTTACGGAAAAGATGATTAAATAATGGGATTATAGGTTTGGTAAAAAAAAATATGTTAATCGCTTCGCTTCGGAAGTACCTAAATAAAATCAGTCAAGAATGAGGAATACAAGTGATATTTAGTAAAATTACTCATTACAAAGTTCTAAGTTATAGGTATTGGTTTTAAGTAGTCAATTAAAATTTATGAAAAAGAAATATGTTCAGATTATACCATGAAAATGTTTTTTATACAAAATATTGTTGTAAATAATGAATGTTTTTTAAATCCTCAGTCTTTAAGTTATAATATTGGGCTTTGATTATGAAGTATACACATTACTAAAAATAATATCGGATCTCACTATTTTTTGTATAAATCGACGTAAAATATGTGATAATGTTGCTATATGATTGTTATATTGACAACATTTTTAAAATTATTAAATAGGTATAGAATAAATAATTTTACAATATTGTTTTAGTGTTTGTCATAGTACACAGTTTTACGCCCAGTCTGGTGTTTCCTGTAGGTATCATTCATATAGTAAGCGGGCTAACGACCATGATGGCAAGCGATTGACAGACAGTCGCAAGCCGTTGATGTGAGGCGGAGGTTGTCCTCCTGTAACTGCACTAACTCGGTGAATTGCAAACAAAAGAATCGTTTAAGACCGTGAGACCGTGGTGAAACTCCGGTCGAGCTGGCACGTATGTCCGAAAGCATGTCCTCGGCAAGAAACATTACTTAATGTACAACATTTAACTTGTGAATTTTGCTGCCACCATTTTTTTAATTGTCAAACATCATCTCAGTCGAAAGTCGTCCACTGCTGGACATAGCCCTAGACAAAGGTATGTATGTGTCTGCAAGGGAGAGATTGTAAGAGTAGTGTGATAGTTGTAAGATTAGAACGATACCGTTTAGTTACCGTATAGTTGTGCCATAGATATACATATTTAGATTAATAATATAGATAGATTAATAATTATTTCTATTAATATTACTAACCATAATCATTATTACTATTGTTTTTATTACTAAATTATTTGATTAAAAGTTCAGTTTCGTCAAAAGATAACTTAATTAAATAATCATACAAAGCCTTTCTTACTTCAAATTTACTTAATGAATAAATGTTAACTTAAGAAATTTATAAAAGTGTGGGTAAAAAATGTTTTTGGTTTTAAGTTACGGTCACACACTGCATAAGTTCGCTGGGATGTGATGGGGTTTTTGAATATGCAAGCAGTAAATACTGTTTTTTGTTTTTTTTATGTTAAAGAAGAAAGAAAGAAAGAAACATTTATTTGCACAGAAAACAGGTGGTACCAGATTTTACAAAGGTGTATAATGTTCAAGCTACGAGTATATTCTGCCTATACTAGGCATGCAAATATTTATATAGAGACTCAAAACATTAACTAATGATAACTATTAACTAATAAAATTAACAAAATGTCAAAAAAATATATATTACAGAGAAATGATTAAATTTAGAAATTATTAAATTTATTGAATTATTATATCTAATTTATTAAATCTACAAATGATCATATACATCAGTTTTATATTGCATGAACTCTTTCACTGTATAAATGCACTTATCAACTAGCTATTTTCTTAACTTAATTTTAAAATATTTAAATGAAAGTTCCCTAAGGCTCTTAGGAAGTTTATTGAAAACTGATACTTCAAGAACATACATACAAGGCCAGGTCCAGCCGCATTTGGAATACTGTTCTCATCTCTATGCAGGGGCACCTCAGTAACAGCTTCTCCCTCTGGACCGCATCCAACGAAGAGTGACTCGATAGCCCAAACATCTAATGTTTTAATGTTAAGCTTAAAAGATTAGTTGTCGCACCGTTAGTACATCACAATATTCTTATAGAGGCTTGGTGGGGGGGTAACGTTGTAATCACGGACTGACAGAGAGCATAATAGATTTGTTTAAGATTTGCAGGTGATAGTACATGTCTTAAAGTTTTGAAGAGGTAAGTCAATTTACGAACTCTTTTGCTAATCAGTTAAATATGGGCTTTGAAATTAAAATGTTGATCAATCGTTACTTTTAGGTATTTAATTGTATGGGCATTTAAGTGTACAAGTAGAAGCAGACGTTGATTTATTTAAACAATTATGTACTGTCAATCCGTGACCAGTTTGAACTGAGTCTCTATTCGAAAAGGTCATATATTTGCTCCTATCAGCGTTTAAAGTTAAAATGTTTTGCTGAAGCCATATTTTGACAATATTTAGGCCGTTTTGAGCATGGTAGTAAGTCTCTTTCCATGTTTTAGCTGTGAAAATAAGAGCAGTACCATCGGCATAAGAGATTACTTTATCCGCAGTCAGGCTTAAGGATATAAGGTCATTAATATATATTAAAAAAAGAGCCGGCCCGAGAATACTTCCTTGGGGTACGTCGTAATTAACTAAAAGATCAGTACTGATGTGGGGCTCCAATTTTACACTATGTGATCTATTTGACAAATAGTCAGCAAGTAGATTTAGTTGGATTCCTCTTATACCAATTTTTTCCAATTTCTTCACTAGGATGGGGACAGAGACCTTATCGAATGCCTTTGATAGGTCTAGGAATATCGCAAGGCTTTTTTTTGCTCTTATCTAGGTTCGTTGTAATAATATCTGTCACATTTCCAACTGCTTCGTCTGTGCATCTCCCTTTGCGGAAACCAAACTAACTGTTTGATAAAATAACCTTTGGTTTCTAAATAATTAACCAACCTGCTATTTATATTTTTATTCCAAGATCTTAGATAGCGTTGGTAAAATTGAAATAGGCCTAAAGTTTTCGATGTTATCTCTGTCCCCACCCTTGTAGATTAGGCGTAGTTGGGCTACCTGATAGATGCCGCTTACCAAACATCTGTTAAAAATGTAAGTCAGGTGGGGCACAAGTATATTACTATTCTTTTTTAACAGTGTAGGACAAATGTTATCCTAGGCCACAGAACACTCGTTCTGAGCCCTGATATAAGATTAGCAACCTCTGCTTCATCGGTGTTTAGAAGTGCAAAGGAATCACAACATGTTTGATTCTGTGTTTTAGTATCAAATATTTTTTCAGTTTCTGTTAACTTCTACGCACGAGTCTTGCCAACGTTTGCAAAATACTCATTAATTTTATTTACAAACGCCTGCGGGGAGTTAAAAAAATTAAGTAGATTTTTAGAAAAGGACACGTCTTTATTTGTATTCGTGATTTCCTTGACGATTTTCCACATTTTTTTGCATCTTTTCCTGCTTTTTGGATACGTTCCCTTTCGTAGCTCCGTTTAACATTTTTTAGGATGGAAGAGCAGAAGTTTTTGTAACGGGTATGGGTAATTTTGTTTATTGTGTTATCAGGGGAAGCTTTAAGTTTTTAATGTAATTAATCCCTGTTACGTAGGCACCTTAGTAGAAATTGAGTAATCAAAGGTTTGATTATTATGAGGTAATGCAGTTGTAGTTGAGCTTTTATTTAGGGCTTCATTTAACTTAGCCATAATATAGTTCATTGTAACATTACAATCATCATCAATATATTGGGTCAAAATCGATTTTAGCTATATCACCATTTAAGCACTCCTTATTTATTCTATTTTGAATAACACAAGCACAACTTTGAGTTTGTATGATTGTTTTATGGTCAGTAAGGGTTGATTGTGGAACAATAGTAGTCCAAGGAAATTTTGTTTTAAGTAACACATGGTCAATGCATGTTTCAGCATTGGCATTAGGTGAGATAAGGACACCCACAATAGCAATATTTTTGAAACTCGATAAGTTGCGTAAGGTTTAGTCTAAAGAGATCAGAAATGGATCTATGTTTCTATGTTATGGTACGAAGGCGATCGGTAAACATCAAGAATAGCTCTATCGGATTTTCCAATTTTGATAAGCAGGGAGTTACTATTTTGTAATATTATTTCCTAAACGCTGTAAGTTAGTTGTTCTTTTATATAAATGACAACACCATCATTTTGAATTGTGTTGTTTGAGGTAGCAATGAGTATTAGCACATCATATTCAATCCCCAGTCTGCTGAAAAGGGCTTGAAAACCTGTGAAATCAGCATTTATACTACGAATGTTTTGGGATAAGACAGACAACGATAGCTGCTTAGGAAATATTTTGCTGCATTTGTTAACTTCGTATGTTAACGAGTCCGACACATCAAAACTTCTTCATAGTAGCCATGAGTATCATAGATAATTAAATATATCAACCAATAGTCACTACAAAAACAAAACAATTCGAATACGCATTTTGCTATCACTTTATAAACATATGAGACATAATAAAAAAATGCAACGGAGTATAACATACTTTACAATTTGTTATTGTTTTTATGTTTGGCACATAACCGTGTTGGAGATAATAAGTGTTTTGTATCACTCAATCCTAAGAAAAATTGTTATAAAATCTGTATAGTGTACATTGTAAGAGTACATACTTAGTAAAGTGCATGCATATGATTAAATTATAATTATAGTACCATACACAAATGTAAAACAAAGTAAACAGTAAGCAAATATTTCTACCATTAACTAAAACTTAAAAAAATTAAAGACAGTGTTTGACGTAAGCCAGCAATAGTCACATCCTTTTCTTTAGGGATTCAAGAACCTCTTCAGTTGTTACTCGGATTTGAGAGTTACCGATTTCCTTACGTAGATCGACCATACCATTCGCTGTCCAGCAAAATGCGTAGTTATTCCTTTTTTGGAAGTTTCTTGCATAGTAATAAAGCTGCTGAGTATAATAGGTTAACAATTCCTATACATAAATAGGCTTTTTTGGTACTTGTAAGTTGATGTGACCAGTATTTAACTTAAGCCCTGGATTTTTGAATTATTTAAAATATTTTAATGTGTTCAAAAATTTGTCTTTTAACAATATGTCACCACTGGGTTAGCATTATCGTTTGAGCTAAACCTGTAGATATCTCGTATGTCGCTTGTTACTATATTAAGATCTAATGTCTTCGCGAGTGTCACTACTCTGTTACATAAGGTTTCTTTCGTTTCGCTTTGGGCTTTCGAAAGATTTCTAATTTTGATACAAGAGGATCAGGCTTTACGTTCTAACGTTTTTCTTCGAGTTGTTTAGTCATTTTTTTGTCGTCTTGTCTCTCCTTCTCAAGACATGATATCTTCGACAAAAACTCGTCATATTTTGCAGACATCATGCCAACACTGTTACGAAGTTCAGAATTCTGTTCCTTCAAGGACGCAATAGTTGCCTGCAGGGCTTGGAAACGTCTGTCCTACTCCCTTGAAAATTCAACAAAAATACCTTTAATTGTAAATGTATATATATAAAATACCAGAGTTTTCCTGTTCATATTTTCTTTTTTTCTTTCACTTACATTTAGCAGTAATATAATGGAGATCAGGTGCCAATTCGCAGTGATGGAGCGGCGACTCATTATTACTTACCAGCGCAAACACACTGCTGTGCACACGTAATACTGCAGCATTAGACGCTCCGCTAGGATGCCATGTAATAGGTGGCAGGTGGTGTTCGCTTCTGCCGTCTCCTTCTGCCGTCTCCTTCTGCGAGCAAGTTATGCTTGTGAAGGAGATGGCGGAGCGGGACCGGGAGAGGTTTAGAACTCGCCCGGCCCGCCAGGCTCGGGAACGGGCCAGGTACCACAGACGACTCAGTCGCCGGAAGTCGCAGCACGACCTCCGTCCTCCATAAGCACAGGCCTGGGGGTGACAGGTGAGGCCATCTGTCACCCTAGCAGAAGCAGGCCGGGGTGGCGGCGAGCACGCTGCAGAGGGAACATGGGGGTTCCGACGGTCGTCTACCGCCGTAGATGGCCCGAGGTACGTCGGGGCACCAGGGATTTCCTTTCTACTACAGCTGGTTCCCCGACTACTGGTACCTGAGACGGCGTGCGGTTTTAGTCGGTTTGAGTTCGACATTGCCACCGGTAAGTGGTATCCGAGGGGATTTCCGCACAGGAAAAAAGCCTATTACGAGTATAAAAAATAACAAAGTATAATATTTTGTACCGAAGCAAAAAACCTTATCAGTTGCAGGGGTCAACTTTGCTGGACACCGACCTGCAAAACAGTGTATTATTGCTATCCGTCCAGTCCAGTGAGTCTAGTATGCACCGTTCTAGTTGGAGTAAACAATGATGTTTTGTCTTTCTTTTATTCACGGGAAGTTCTATGTGTGCGTTAGCACGGTGTACGTAACTCTTTTTTGATGCCGTTTACTCACAAGCATGTGATTTTTGCTCGATGACAGCTCCTCCATACACTTTATGCACTCCTAGTACTTCAACGGTAATTTTATAATATAATTTATTGATTTATGGTGTTAATTTAAAATATTTTAATACAAAGGCGTCAGTACTCGACCGAGATCTGAAGGGAAGGCCAAAACCTTCTTTGTAAGGAGAGGCCTATGTCCAGCAGACGACTGTGGACTATTAAAGGCTGTTGATGATGATGTTGATGATATAACATTGTAAATTTAACATATCTGCACATTACTTAATTTTATGAAAAGTGTAGAGGTTAATTGTACACATTGATATCATTTGAAACAATATCTATCAGTCTTTATGAATCCGTCTGAAATTAGTCAGACCAAACTGGTGTATCACTAAAAAGTACAGATTATATTGTATGAATGGGGTACCAAGTACCAAGGTATTTTTTTATTTATTTATCAAATAAAATATGGAAAATCTAATTTGTGAACAAAGCATTCAATCATTAATTTATTTATTGTTATCCATTGTTGTTTATCTATATTAGTTGTATATAGATCCACCGAATTTGTTGTTGTATTTATTGTATTTTACTCGTATTATTCTTGTTATCATTTGATAACTTAAATAATTTTCAACCTTATTATCATTAAGAGTAATAAAATATATGCCACAGCGGTAGTGTATTTGACTGTAGGATGAGAGAAAGCTGGTTTGATTCTCAGTCAAATATCTTAATCAAAGTGAAACATCTTTCCAGCGGCTGTGTGATCTTAAATTACACAGTCTGTACTATGGTGATCAGACTACTGATAAATAGACTTATTTATTTAAACATACACTATTCCCAGACACAGGATGTTAGCATAATAAGGTAGACTAACAATAAATAAGGTATACTAAGGTAGAGACACAATTGTTGGTCCCTGCCCTGGGAGTCAGGATTAGAGATCACGAGAGTCTAGTGACTAGACCGACAGGCACTTGCACGCAAATTGTCCTTTGGCATTAACCTGAGTTGTTTTAAATAAAACTCTATCTAAGTGTAGGTGTTTAAGCTATGGTTACTTAGATACTTGATAGCGTTGTGTAATACGTAGAGTATAATACACAGGGCGGTGACCTTGTCTGCTCGTATTCCGCAAACCTGATAACCCAAAGCAACATCACCCCCTTCTGTGTAAAGAACGGTTGAATTCATTTAACATCTGCACACTAATTGCAAATAATATATAAATAATATCTTCACTTACATAACACAAGTAAAACAATTCACAACTGTATAACAACATGTGTACATACGTCCAAAACGGTTGCTATCAAGTTAGTATTTTATTTAATACTAGTCTGAACTAGTCTTTAATAAAATACTAAGCAATTTTTTATAGGAATAAATCCGCCTTTATACTAAAAACACATTTAAAAAAAAAATCTCGCGTGAGGATTGGGGGATGGGGGAGGGGCAATTAACTTCGCTTAGGAGCTCCTTGTTTTTCTTTTTAATTTTATCTCTGCGTTTGACAGTCTCGACAATAATACTGTTTTTACTAAGACTTAAGCTGTATTTATCGATATCAATAATTAAATAATAATATCAATATCAATAACTAAAAGTTATGGCTGATCGTTAATGCAATCGAAGACGGGTAGACTTTTGATGAGCGATGCCACTTGCGTAGACACTCACACCATCGTATCTTCAAAGCACAGTGAAAATATGTGTTATTTTTTTTAAACAGATGGCAAACTTGACACAAAAGCTGTAGCAACCCGTCTGGCCAGCGTGCTATAGTAGGCCAAAACCTCCTTTCTAAGGAGAGGCCTATGTCCAGCAGACGACTGTATAACAGTCTGTGAATTATACTACAATTCCATGTTTTTAAACTCTAACTATACAATTAGCTCATAACAGAAAAATAGGGGTACCCTTGCATAAATATCCAAGAAGCTGAATTTTTAAACGTTATTGATACTATTATAATGTAATTGTGAAAAGTCGCCATCTATTCCCCGTGTGCAAAAAATAATAATTGCAAGGTTAAAGTTCGCAAAAATAGTTTTTTTGGATTTTTTTAAAAATAGGTCACATAAAAATGTTGATTATGCAATTGTCTACAAAATTGTCCTTGCACTTTTTCCCCTAAGATTTACCATTTTTAAGAAAAAGCGATTCTAAAATCGACTGAAGCTGTATTCCCCATAGTATGCATGACTACGCTGCTACTATGTACATCATTGGGCGCTTAATATTAGTTAAACTATTACAACCTTAGTAATAAACTTTTATGCCCGACGTATACCAGGGTTATAACATAAACGTTACCAATCTATATATATAAAAGAAGAAACTAACAAGATTGATTTTCTGCCTGATCGATCAACGTACAGCTGAAACCACTGGGTATACAAGCATGAAATTTTGCAAATACGTTCCTTAGGTAAAGTAAGAGTGCACTTAGAAATTTATATGAAACTCTGTCATTTTTTGGTAGTAGGTAACGTTTTCAAACTCACAGTAAATACTCTTTATTACACGTAATAAAAAACGTTGTTACAAATTTTTCAAAACTACCCTTAAAAAGGGGTTTTATAGGCCTCGTTTCCTTATTGCCAATTTTTTTTAATAATTAAAAAAAAAAAATAATTCTAAAATAATAAATGACATCTAAATTATATTGGAGTTTTCTTTAGTAATAATTTTATTATTTGTTGCCTTGTCATCATCAATTATTGTGTTCGCAAGCCTTTCATTGTTTGTTTCTGGTAATATGAAATATAATTTTCGTCTACCCTCCGTGAAGTTAACTGTGCTGGAAAGTTAGTCGCGATTAAAATTGTGTATTTATTAATATTTTGTGCTAAATTCTTCCCAAAAACCGTGTTAAAATCAACAATAAGTGATATGTGTGCACTATTATAAATAGTGGAGTGGTTTTCTATCATTAAACATAATATCTTATTTAGTTAAGAAATTTACGAACTTCCTTAAATTCATACCAACGAAAATTACCTAAAATGAAGTGTTTTCAATGCGAAAGTGATGTCAGTAATGACGACAATGCTGTTCAGTGTGATGGGTGCAAGCGCAGTGTGTGCTCGAAATGTAGCAACTTGACAAGTAGTGAGGCTAGAGTTATGGGGCTCAAGTCGCGACGCACTCTTTTGTACCTGTGCGCGCCTTGTCGTGAGGCCTTATTTCAAGTACCAAAATTGATAAAGTCTTATGATGCAGTGCGAGAAGAGCTGGATGACATAAAAAAACAACTTGCCGAGCAAACTCCCGGCCAAAGGAAACCGGCGTTTTCGCAGCCGACAACGGGTGCCATTGATGCGAACTCCATTATTGGAGAAATGGCAGAACGTGAGCGTCGAGCTAATAACATTATTGTGGTTGGTATAAAAGAATCCGACTTGGATGATAAAGACAGTCGCAGTGCCCATGACGAATCAGGACTTAAAGAAATCTTAGAGGAAATCACTGGGGATAGTGGAGCCTCAGCTAAAGTGGTCAAGATAATTCGCTTAGGTCAAAAAGACAGTTCAAAGCCCAGGCCTATGAAAGTTGTTCTAAAGAGTCGATCTGATGCTGTCCACATTCTAAAAAATAAGGCAAAAGTGCGTAAGGAGGTAAGAATCTATAATGACAGAACACCACAGCAACGAGAAGAACTCAACCAGCTTCGCCAGAGCCTAAAAGAAAGAATGGATAAAGGTGAGACAGATATCACTATAAAATATGTTAGCGGAATGCCAAAGATTATCAAGACAAAAAACTAATAAGTAGTAACACTCCATACACCAACCTTACATTTTATTATACCAACTTATGCTCACTACCCGCTAAATTCGACTTATTTCTTCTTGACATAAACGCACAAAAACCCACATTCATAATTGTTACAGAAACATGGCTTAATAATAATGACAGGAACAGTACCTATGCAATACCAAACTACACTCTCTTTAGAAAAGACCGCAAAAAGCGGCCAAGGGCCGAAGGTGGAAAATCAAGGGGCGGTGGTGTAGCAATTTACGTCAGAAGCAATGTTAACGGCATCCCAATAATTGCACGCAAGAATAACCGGTATATGGCTGACATGGTGGAGGCGCTATACCTTGATATACAATTTGTGCATTACCATTTTGTACTAGTTGGAGTCTACCGTGCTGATACTAATATTAACTGGGCAGAAGACGACAAAGTCTTACTTGATAATATATCACATGCTTCTGAAACCAACACCATACTTATCATGGGAGACTTCAACTACCCGGACCTCGTCTGGCCTATGTGTTCACACCAAGACCAAAGACTGAGTGACGCATCACAGTTGTTTCAAACTATGTTTCTTGACAGTAATCTCCATCAGCTAGTATCCGGCCCCACAAGATTTCGGCAGAACAATATACCATCACTACTGGACCTCGTTATGACTAACGATGGTTCTATGATATCCAGTATAAACCATCTACCACCTATTGGCAAGAGCGATCACTGTGTATTGCACCTTCAAATGCAGTGCCTCACTTGCCCATCAGATTCCCACCCGCAACAGAAGCGATACTATCAAAAGATTGACTTCAATAAGTTTAACAAGGACCTCTGCGAAGGCCTAAATAATATAGTCAGAACTGAAGAAGTGGAAGATTTCTGGAACATTGTAAAAACAATACTGAATGCTAACATAGAAAAACACGCCCCTCCAATGACAGTCAGGCAGAAAAACAAAAATAAACCTTGGATCAAACCGCACATATTAAAACTAACACATACAAAACACAAACTTTGGGATGTATACTCTGCCAGTAAAACAACAGAAGACTACTTGGAATATAGGACCATTAGCAACAAATGCGTTAATGAGTGTAGAAAGTATAGAAGTTACTATGAGGCAGACATACTTAAACATGGAGACAAATGCTTCTATTCATACTTGCGTAGGTGTACATCCTCTAAGGTTAGCATTCCACCTGCTATGCGGAGCCCGCTTGGCAACCTAGTGACTAGTCCACTGGATATTGCTAATACATTTGCTAAGGAATTCAGTAAAGCATACTCTGAGGAACCACCTATAAACAATATACCTAAGATTAGTGGCATTGCACGAGTTCAAGCCTCCCTATGTGATATCCCATTTGAGGAAGAGGAAATTGCAAAAGTACTAAAGAACCTTAAGGTAAACTCATCACCAGGACCAGACAGTATACCAAATATAGTACTAAGAAACAGTGCAGACCTGATTGCTCCTGTATTGGCAGAAATAATGAGAACCTCCTTTACAAATAATAGATTACCCAGGGATTGGAAACATGCCATAGTGACACCTGTATACAAAAACGGTGATAAGACTGACCCGGCTAAGTTTAGGCCTATAAGCCTCACAAGTGCTATAGGTAAATGTATGGAGAAGATCATATCAAACCATATCAGGTCATTCCTCAACAGACAGAACATTATTTCTGTGAAACAACATGGCTTTGTTGAGGGGAGATCCACGGTAACTAATCTACTAACATGTGTTAACACGTGGTCAAGGGAACTTGATCAAAAAAGAAGTATGGACGTCATTTACTTGGATTTCGAACGTGCTTTTGATAAGGTTCCTCACAATCGACTATTGTTGAAACTTGAGCACTTTGGTATGCGTGGAAATCTCCTAAAATGGCTTGAAAACTACCTTGCAAATAGAACATACCAAGTCAGAGTCGGTGACACATTATCTGAGACAATGAAGGTCCTGAGTGGTGTCCCCCAGGGCTCGGTTCTCTCTCCTATCCTGTTCAACATTTTCACTGCAGATTTAATAGCATTAATAGAGTGTGAGTCATGCTTTTTCGCTGATGATGGAAAGTTCTTTGGTGATCCTGTCATTCGGTCAGGACAACTGCAATCAGATCTGGACAATTTACAAGAGTGGACCAAAGAGTGGATTGCGAAGCTCAATGCATCCAAATGTACAGTATTGCGTCTGGGTAAGAACAACCCTGAAGTACCATACACAATAGGTGACACAATAGTTGCATCTGTCAAGTCGCAAAAAGATCTTGGAGTAATGATAACCAGCAACTTAAAATGGGCTGACCACATCAATATTATAGTTAAAAAGGCAAATTCCTTCCTATATGCTATACGACGTGCATTCCAACACATGACACCTTCAGTTTTCACCAAAATTTATAAAACTTATGTCAGGCCTCTGTTAGAATACGGTTTTCAAATTTGGAATCCCTACCTTGTAAAGGACGTTGACCTGCTGGAAAGTGTGCAAAGGCGAGCAACTAGGATACCGTATGGACTGCGACATAAGACTTACGAGGAACGCTTAAAAGTGTTAAAATTACCGACATTAAAACATCGCAGGATGAGAGGCGATCTTATTGAAACCTATAAAATACTAAGCTCAAGATATAATCTTCCAAATATCAAGGATATGTTCCTCCTCCAGCGCAAGGCGTACTCATCACGGGGACACAGCTTCGCAATAGATCGCTCACACTCACAGTCGCTGGTAGCCTATCACACTTTGAACAATCGTGTTGTTGCGATATGGAACAAGCTTCCGGAAAATGTTGTGACCGTAAAGTCAGTGAACAGTTTTAAGTGCCAACTAGATATATGGTTAGAAAAGCACAACCCATTGGACTAAACAACCGTTTAATCATGTACACGGGAACTCTTACATCACAAACTTACTCCAGTGCAGTGATGTGGACACATCAGCAAGTTTGCTGCTCGTCCATAATACCCTAATAATAATAATAATAATATCAAAAGAGACATTCCCATTATGCTTCCATATACAACGAAAACGCCGTGTACTCCTAAATTGACAAGCAGATGCGGTGTTGATTTGAGACCCACCGTCAGACAGATAGATATCCATACTTGAGATAGAGCTGGACTGACTCCTTTATTATTCAAATGAAATATTTCTCCAACCAATGTCAAAGGTATTGAAGCACATCCAAAATTCGCAAGCATAAAATACACTCCAAGTAAATTCACAGAAATCCATGTTTTATCCGTAACTATCATACCTTTGGAAGTAAAAAACAGGTACATGCAAAGGGACATAAGGACAGATAAAGCTGAAAATCCAGTACTAAAAAATAGTGTCCGAGGATTTATAATTTTGCCAAGGACTGCTGCAAACAATGCGCTGGCTGTAATCGCAATATCGATGCCCAGGCTATAGTAGAAAGACTGAGTGATCTCCCCAGTTATATCAGCCATTATCTGCAAAGCGTAAGAGAAGAACACGTGTTTGCCGCTCATAACGAGGACTAAGGTAGATAAAATCATAATCATAAGACGTTTAAAAAAGTCCTTTTGCTTAAATTGCCGACAAAAATCCACCACCCCGTCCAAACATGTTAGTTTGAATTTAGATGTTGATAGTCTCCAATGTCCTAGTGGATATCTGGAAGATTTAGTATTACCTCTGTTACTGTTAATGGTGTGATCACTTGTCTCAAATTGTTTTGAAGCTCGGCACGCCGAACTTTCAGGCCAGGTGTAAACGATTAGCAAGTCCATTAAAAGGGGTGCCAAAGCTACTAAAGCGATAGTTCTCCAGTCCAAACATCTACTTATAATGTGCATGATTGTAGCACCCGTGCAGAGTGCTGCGTTTTTAAGATACAAAAATGCTCCCTTGTATTTAGGAGCCATATATTCTTTTATTATAATGGTTTCTAAAGGTACTGTGGCTCCTACAGTCAAACCACTCAAAAATCTTCCAATCATTAATGTTGTAATATCTTTTGCGAAGTATATCATCAGCCAACCGACGATACTTGAAAGGATTACCATTGCATTAGCGAATCTTCTGCCGCAAAATTTCGTTAAGACGGATGACATCATGAAGCCATTAATATATGCTACACCTATTATGGATCCTGTAATAAATTAAAGTCTTTAAAATTTTTATGTTAGTACTAAGAAAGACGTGGTTAGACTTTAAGGCCCTAGGAAAGCTCTGAGGTAATTTATAAACATAGTCGCTTTTAAATTATTTGAAGAAATATATAAAGACATAAAGTCTTTAAATTATTTGAAGAAATCAAATGATGATGCGTTAAATTCACTAAAATTCTCTGTACCATACAGAGAATATGTAATTTTTAACGAATTTCTGTACTGTAATGCTAATTTTGTTACCTAACCATGAAGAGGAGTGCAGGTTAGCTCTGATAGGCGACTTAGGGTGGTTGAGTGCCGGTAGTAAGCTGAATGGGTAGGCAAGTACAAACCCTTGACTAAACATTTTGATGAGCAGGACTGACATTGTCCATCTCTGAAAATAATAATATTAAAGATATATTAAAAAATTCAGATGTTTTCTGTCCAAACGCTCAACTTTTTCGCTGCAATAGCTCAAATTTGAGATGAAGATTTTATGGTGCAAATTTATGAAAATTAAATTAAAAATTCTTCGTTTTTTAACATTGAGGATTTTAAATATCTTAAAAGTTTGATAAATACCTTACACCTTTCTGAAAGAGACTTCTCAATGTGATTTACACGCATTCTAATTGATTGGTTAGATAATATCAAAATATCAGAACACTATTTGATTACTAGGCGATGTTTATGCTAAGCTACATATTTACTACTACAAATTCACACCAAGCATTTGATTTACAATAACAAACGTCAATATTCGTTTTACACATAGAAGTCGTAACATAAAGTCTTATCTTTACGATTAGTTTAATTCAAAACACTTTAAACTTCAATTTGCTTTGTTGCTTCAGTTTGCTTACAATTGTGAGAAATATTTTTCTATACATGGATTGCAGTCTCGGCTAAGAGTTACGCGTTAGTTATGAGTTAGTTATTACTACGCGGCCTACAGGCCCATCGTGTTGCTGGAGTAGCCGGGTAAATTGTTTGAGAGGATCATCTCTGCCCGCATCGTTCGGCATCTGTGCGAGGTGGGCCTCGATCTCTCGGACGCCCAATTCAGTTTTCGAGCGGACCGTTCGACGGTCGGCGCTGTGTTGCGCCTGAGGACCGTGACCTAAGATGTGGTGAGCCGTAGCGGCGTGCTGTTGGCGGTGTTATTGCATATCGGCAACGCATTTAATAATCTGCCATTAAGTTACATCAGGGAAGCAGTCCACTACCACGAAGTGCAAGAGTGCCTGAGGCGGCTAGTGGCAGACAACTTAGAGGAGCGTACTATCATGTACCACCAAGATGTGTCACCAAGATGGTCTTTTGAGGTGTATTCTGTAGGCACCGCTTCTGTGGCACATGGGATACGACTCTAGGCTGTTACGCCAATGACACGTTGGTCACAGCCCAGGAGGCGACCTTTCAAGAGATAGCGCCTGACGTCCAGGCGAGTCTCTCTAGTGTTCGGGCGCTTTGAGGCGCTGGGCTTACGAGTGGTCCTTTTATTCCATGGCCACCGTCGTGTCCACACTGGAGCCCACTTGTGTTCAATTCGATGACAGGTGTCTATGCGACGAAAACTTCCGCCAGCTTTCTCCAAAGCTGATTAGCGCTGTGTCTGCTCTTAGGCGACTTTTGCCTAATCTGGGTAAACCCAGCGTTGCGACAAGATACACGTACACATACACGGAGGTTGTCTGGTCATTGGTACTGTATGGAGGTATTGGCCGTCCAGAATAGAGCGCGCCTCTAGCGCCTTCAGAGGCAAGGCCGTCTTAGGCCATGCCGGGGCCCCCAGGCGCACATCAATTTGGGGCCCTGTTGTACAAAAGCAAAACACACATCAATAATTGATGCATTATTGATTGATTCATTCATTGATGCATTAGTGGCTTAAGCAACAAAATGCTCCAACAATTGTTCATTTAATTACAATAATTCATGTTTTTCTTTTAAAAAAGACTTTACAAACATACATGGAACGGATACAAAGAACACCCAGACTCAGAATAACAATTTGTGGACCACACAAAGTGTCGTCCCATGTGGGGATCGAACCCAAAACACTCAGCGTAGTCGTGAGCAGCGTGACGACTGCCCAAACCACTACGCTATCCGTCCCGTCGCTTTTTATTATTTGGTAATTCAAGTGTGACCGCTTATATGGTTTTAGACTTGTCGGCAACGATTTTTCATTGAAATTATAAGATTGGTTAGGTGGCGTCCATTAATTACGTGAGGGGTTTTTGGCGATTTTCTGACCCCTCCGAGAGGGGCTCGGATGAGATGTCGTGAGATTTGATTGAAAACCCCTCCCCCAATCTGACGTAAGATTTTTAAAAATGTGTTTTTAGTGTAAAAGCGGATTTATTCTAAAAAAAAATGCTCAGTATTTTATTTAAGACTGGTTCAGACTAGTATTTAAGATTGCTTCGAAAGTAGGTGAGTAAATATTATTGTAAAAGGTTTGGCCATATTTCCGTGCAGGAACATGTTTCACTTAATTTAACCTAGTTTTCTCGCAATTGCACTCTGTTTCTTGCGGATAAAAAATTACGTGATACTTGCCGAGACCCCTCCTCCCCCAAAGTAAGATTAGATGAGATTCGGCTCAACCCCCTCTCCCCCCTAAACGCCTTTTTTATGATAGAGGGGGCAGACGAGCAGACGGGTCACCTGATGGAAAGTAACCTTCACCGCCCATGAACATCTGCAGCTCAGGAGTCACAAACGCGTTGCCGGCCTTTTAGGAAGGAGTACGCTCTTTTCTTGAATGTTTGTAGGTGGTATCGGTCCGGAAATACCGCAGACGATAACCCGTTCCACAGATTGGTTGTGCGGGGTAAAAAGTGTCTATAAAGCGCACAGTAGTGGAGCACCCACTATCCAGGTGAGGATGAAAATTTTAACGTGTGGAACGATGGCGGAAAGTTGCGGGCTGGTATTAGTAATTTATGCCTCACGTAGTTTATGTATGCCCCCTTAGCTAATCCCGCTGAAATCGCTTACAATGGAATTTTAAGTAGTCTTTCAGTTAATAATATAATAATGATAATCGTTTATTTTTCTCTCTCACACAGAATAGTTACAATTATTCCATCTTGTCAAATGTCAAAAGTGTCAAAAGTGAACGAACGTGTTATTTGTCACGCTGTTAGTTTTTCAAAATTTAATTGTTATCTGAATTTATTTTAATTCCTAAATGGGTACCAAATGTGCCGGCTGTGATGCCGAGATTAAGGATATATCGTTTATGGAATGTTCGCAAGAAACATGTCATAAATTATATCATCTGAAGTGTCTGGCATTGACATATGAAAAGTTTGAAGCCATTACTGAAGAATACAAGAGTCAATGGATGTGTCCAGAATGTATCAACGCTATTCCAAAACGTGATAATACGGAGACGCCAATTAGAAGCACTGTTTCCATGAATAAAACTTTTACACCAAGCAACTTTGTAAATAAGGAACGCGGCAGCCGAGTTAAATCCAAGGAAAGTATTATGAATGAGAATGAGTATCAACTATTCGAAGAGATGCGTAAATTTCGTATGGAAATGATATCAAGATTTGATGACCAAAAGAAGGAATATACAAAGTAAATTTGATAAAGCTGAAAACGAGCTACGTGAAATAAATAAAACAATGAGGGTAGTTCAAGAAAAGACAGAAAAAGTGGAATTGTTGGAGAAAAAAATTAAGTTGCTTACAAAAAGGAACGAACAACTCGAGGCGCTACTAAGGAAGAAAAGTCAAACGGAAAATAAGAATGGAAGCGACTGTAATTTTTCTAAGGAGCCCACATTATCATTTGCGAACGCATTGAAACAAGATTCGATGCATAAACCGGTAAAAACTACCGATGTAGTAGTAGTGAAGGAATGTGTGGCCACGAAAGCGACTGATGGAACTGCCAATCCGGAACAAACGCAAGATAAAATCATCAAAGCAAAACAAGCTACCGATAGTAATATTACAGGGAAACAAGAACTTGCAAAGGAAGACAATTGGACTACTGTTAGCAAAAAAAAACCCCGGTTTCCTAACAGAGAAGTGCGAAAAGGCGGAAGTACAAGTACAATTGAAATTAGAGGGACAGAACGGAAAAAATATTTACATGTTTGGCGGTTACAGAAGGATACATCGAAAGAAGCTTTGGAAAATTATGTAAAAAACATATATGGAAAAGATATTTCGATTAATGTGGAAAAAATAAGACATAAAACTGAAAGAGATTACGCCTCATTTATTATAGGGGTCCCTGAAAGTGAATATGAAGTATTGTGTCAGCCTGAGCAATGGCCTCTAAATATCGAATTTTGTGAATGGGTGTGGTTTCGTAGATCACATGATAAACAATCACCAATCCAAAAGAGATATTGAAATAATATATCAGAATGTAAGAGGGCTCCGCACAAAATTAGAAGACTTTTATTTGGGTATTATTTCATCAAATGCAGACTTATTTGCTATCACCGAAACAGGCTGCAACGAATCCATAAGCGACTCAGAACTTATTCCTCCGGGCTACAAAATCCTACGTTGTGACCGGGCAGATGGGCGAAAGCAGGGAGGCGCGTGTCTCGTGGCCACACCGCGTTTCGAGCTACGACGAGTAAAGACGATCTATGACGTAAACATTGACAATCATGTATTTGAACTAGTTTGTGCTGGTGTATACCGTCATAATAGGTTTTTATTTTTGTTATGTGTGGTGTACATCCCACCGAATAGTAGCGAAAATGAATACTTGTTGTTATTTAGATTGATTGAGCAGTATTGTGACAGTTATAGTGAAGTAATTGTAGTCGGTGACTTTAATTTATATTCTTATCCTGCGTACGTAAACAGCTACTATGAATACTTTGTGACGTATTGTGGATTCACTCAGTGCAATAGTATAGGTAATTG